TCGTGTCCTCTCGCGCGTCCTCGCCAATCGAGTCCGACTGTATGAGCGGCTTGAGAAAACATGGGGAAGCATGGGGAACTAGGGGGACGAACAGTGACAGAGGCATGAGAGCTGAGGTCCGCGCGGAGTTCTCGGATCGGCGCTGGGCCCCCCCTCCCTGGCGCGCGGAGCGCCCCAGGGGCGGCGCCGGAGGCGCTGCCAGAGGGCTCCAGCGCAGATCCGAGAAATCCGCGCGGACCTCCGACTTTTCACGATTATGCCACTGCTCGTTCCCCCAGGAATGCGGAAAGTGGAGCGCGAGGGGGTGCGAGAAAAGGAGGGGGGGGCGGATACGACGGGAGGGACATGGAGGTGTGGTGGGGGCGAAGGCTGTTTTTTGGGGGGGCTCCACGCCGCCACCTCCAGACCCCAGCCGAGGCGGGGAAGAACTCGCATGCAAGGGGGGGGAAGGCTGGGGGGGGGGGCTGCCCCCCTCCACGAGAGCACGAGATCAATCCGGCCCTCGGGAGCGCCCGGTGCGCAGCACAGCCGCGGTGGCCGACGTCGGCATACAAAACACGGTCGCCGCAGTCGCGACCTGTCTGCCGGTGGCGCTTCGCGCACGCGCGGCGGGGGGGGGAAAGGGCTGTCGGGGACAGCGCTGGCAACACACGCTGGTTAAGTTTAGAACGCGTTTAACATACAAACAGAAACAAAAACAAGACACGCCGACGCAATCCGTTCACCGCTTAGTTTTAAAACAAAACACAACAAAACGACGCGATTGCCGTCCGAAACTAAAAACGGTTGCCGGGTCAGAGGATCCCCGACTCGGGGATCCTCTGACCCGGGTCAATCCAGACCCGAGTCAGTCAGGCCTTGCAGGATCCTGCAGGATCCTGCAGAGGATCCTGCAGGATCCTGCGCCCAGGCCTGGGCCAGCGCAGCCCTGGCCCTGCAGGCTACTGCAGGATCCAGCGCGCTGACGGACCTCCGTTTGCATCGACCCGCGTCTCTTGATCCCCGGAGCAGAACGGCCCCCAGACCTCTGGCGTCCTGGAGAAGCCAAGGCGGCACGCTTCTCGGTGGCGCCCCGGCCTCCCGAGGCCCTCGTCGGGCTCCGCAGGGCCACCGCCCGGGGCGGCGCGCGAAGTCGGAGGAGAGGAAGGCGGGCCGAGAGCTCCAGGGTGTTTACATCTGACGGCTGGTGGCTCGTAGCATCAGTCAAGGCCCTCGCTACTTCGAACGCTTCCTCGGCGCGGCAGCATCACCAGCAGAGGAAGAGACTTGATTTGCAAGAAAGCTACCTGCTAGTAGCACCAGGGCCGTCACTGCGTATCGCCCCTTGCGCACGACCGTCTCCAAGCACCAAGCTGCAGTCGAGCACCTCCCAGCAAGCGCTCCTCCAACCGTATGCATCGGGAGCTCCAGGTCTCAACCTGCAACCTTTCGCGGAATCTGAAGCAGGGCTTCCCGACCTGCCAGGCGACCCCAACTCAGTGTTCAAGAGACGCGTGCAACGCGGCCCGCGGGCCTGCAGGTGCTCAAGAGGACCTGAAGTCATCAGATCTGCCGCGGACATTGAACGTTTGGGTCCAGGGGCGCTGACGCGTTGCAGGACAAAACTGCTCTGGCTTTCGCGGAGGGATGTCAGTCACCTGACTTCGCGCATCACTCTGCAAAATGCGCGTTTATCTTCGCGCTCTAGAGAAGCGCAACTCTGTGGCCTAGGACGCGAACAGCGATTACCTTGTCACCCCTGCATGCGCTTTAGCCCGCGCACCAGGAAAAGCAATTATGTCAAAGCTGGGCAGTCCGTCTGGTTCGTCCTGATCCTCATGATCCCGACCGCCACAGATAAGCGCATCGAGGGTAGTCCTGCCCTCGAACAGAATTATTCGGACGGCGCCTCGATAACACTGCCTCGCTGCGGGAATGAGGCTTGCGGGGGTCAGTACCACGTTTTCCACCATGTACCCACCACTACCCATCGGCCTTCGGTGGCTTTCGGCGCTCTCCAGCGATCATCGGCTGTCATTTGCGCGCAAAAGTTGGACGGTTGGACTTACCAAAGGGCCCGCAACCGAACATCTACCAAGAAGATTCCGCCGACACAGGCGTAGCGAGAATTGGAACGATGAGGATCAGACAGCGCACAGCCACACAGCGGCGGCATACAACACCGAATTTACCCGACGCAATCCGGCGGGCCAAAGTGCCCTCTGTTCTATGACCAGCAGGAGTGCCTCAGGAACGCAGAGATGTCACCCCGCACGGGGAAGCGCAATACTCTGCAAACAGTCGGCTCAAACATGCCGCGCGCTGTTATGGAAAACGAATCCGTGGATCTAGCTCGTGGGCGCCAGATCCACGGCACCAAAACACCAAGCCAACGCTGCACAACAAGTGACAATTCAGCATGGAAACGGGACCCGCCGCGAACCCGCGCGCCCTGATCCATGTTTGCGTTCCCCTGGGAAACATCCGCCCGCCACAAAAGCACCTCGATGCCACACCGCCCCCTCGAAAAGGGGCATCCTGCGTTCCCCAGTGCATGCCGAAAGCCAGCCGAACGCATTGGATCCGAGCTCCCCTGGCCACGCACTGCCCTGAAGTTCAGAAGGCCCTATGGCGACGGACATCTACGGCTGCGAACTGCTTAATGCGCCTTTGTTCTCCCAGCCAGCGGCTTTGACAACATCTGCAGGGCAACACGAAGATATTCGGTATATCGGCTCGTAGGACGAAGACTGAAATAAGGGAAAGGAGGACGACAAGGAGGCGGAGGAGGAGGACGGCGTGGAGGACGGGGGGAAAGCGAGGAAGACCAGGATGAAGACAAGCACAAGGACGAGGCGGATGACGAGGAAAACGAGCACGAGAAGGACGAGGACGACAAGAGCGACGAGGAGGGATAGGGAGGCAGCGTGGAAGACGAGGATATGTTGTTCGGACGTGGGTCAGGCTCAAGCGCTAGCTCCTGGTGGAAGAGATTGATTCTTCAACGAGCAAGACCAGGAATAGCATATCGATAAATACGCTGCCCCCCGGGGGTGCCATTCCAAACGCGCGACCTACGGATAAGCGTGAACAAGGAAGCGCCGTGCATTGAAAATCAATTATGCCCTTCCATGGCCCAAGAGGGCCCCAAGAGATCCCAGAGAGGCCCTCAAGAGCCCACCGGCAGGCCTCCAGGAGTCCTCAAGAGGCCCTCAAGAGGAGGCCTTTGAGGGGGCTCCTCCTCCTCTTCCTCCTCCTCCTCCTCCTTCTCCTCCTCCTCCTCCTCCTCCACCTCGTCCTCCTCCTCGTCCTCCTCATCCTCCCTCTCCTCATATTCTCCCTCTTTTGCCCCCAGAGATCCCCCAAGGGGTTCCTCAACGGCGGGGGGGGACACATCGCCCAATAGCTTGGCCAGATCTTGGCCGCCCAACGTCTGCCCACAGCAGGGCGGCGGCGGCTCGACGTGGGCACTCTCGACAGCAAAAAACGGCGAGCACGGATCCGGTGCAGCTCCATGAAGACCCGATGAAACCACTACTGCAGTGAGCCCGGTCAGCCTCCTCGTCCTCGTCCTCGTCTTCGTCTTCGTCGTCGGCCTCGTCGTCGTCGTCCTCCTCCTCATCGCCCTCGGGGAAAAGCAGGAGTTACCAATACCGCTACTCCCCGGACCTTTCCCGGGGGTGCGTTCTGACCGGACTTCCGAGGCGAATCCGGCGGTGGCGACGAGGGCCTCCCAGGAGGCCCCAAAAAGGGGAAAAAGGGGCAAAAATAATAGCTGTATATGTATTAATACCTTTTCCTCCTCCGCTCCTCCTCCAGCCCTGGCCCCCCAGGGCTCACATCAGAGCCCACTCGGCATCTGAGACCACCTGGCCGCCGCGTGGATCCAGGACCTTCGGAGACCTGGTCATGGACGCTTTGTGGCGTCTTTGGTTTTTTACCCTTCCTCTGAGACTCCGATTATTTCTCCTCCTCTTTTCTAGACAAGCGCGTTCCACTACAAATGCCCTGGATCCGCCGCGGGGGATGCACGATACATTACGCCGAGGCAACCAACTATTTCTCGGGCGCTTGCGAGTGGGCACTTTGCGAGCCGTGGAACGCGCTCGGCGACTCTCCTCTCCTCTCAGGCTCCGATCCTTCTTCGAGTCCTCCCCCCTGGAGCCGGCCAACGGGGGCGGCCGACCATTGTTACGGGGGCGGCCGACCATTCTGGGGGGCGGCGAGGGCCCCACGTCGGCTGCACGCAAGCGTGACGCTGCAGGCAGGAGTGGCCACCTCTGTAGCGCGCGGCTTTCGGGGGGCGCGGGGTTGGGGCGCGGGGGGGGGGAAGCAAACCACAGCACGCAAGCCGCTGCCATCGCATCGCTTTCGGCCATACGGGGGCCCCAGTGTTCGGCGTCCAGCGAGAGGGGGGGAGTGAGAAGGGGAAGGCATTCTCAGAAGGCGGCGGGACTTCTCAGAAGCCCCCGTGCCTTCCGGGAGGCTTTCTGTGCAGGTGGGGAAGGCTTAGGAAGCTTCTCAGAAGCCCGGGGGACTCCCGATCCTTCTAAGAAGGCCCGTCCCTCCTCCTCACTTCCCTCCCACGCTCGCCCAGAGGTCACTCCGGCGAAGAAACAATGGTCACTCTTACGTATATAGCCGACCTCCGAGAGATGTGCGCGCGCCTGTCGTCGCTCAGGGCGGCGGCCCGGCACAGCAGCAGCCACAGGCCGAGCCTCGCCACGGAGGGGGGGAGAGGAATAAAACAGGGCACCGCGCGGATTTCTTGGATCTGCGCTGGACCCCCCTCCCTGGCGCGCGGAGCGCGCCAAGGGCGGCCGGAGGCGCCGCCAGGGGGGGGCCCAGCGCGGATCCAAGAAATTCGCGCGGAGCGCCAACAGTTTATGTTTATAGCGTTTTTCCTTCTTCGAGGGGAAAGCTGCTGGCGCTATTGCATGATTTGCAGGCTCCCGAAAAAGCTGTGGCGGTGCTAGCCCCCCCAGGAGTTGGGAGGACTGTGCCAAGGCGGCCCGCTCGCTGCCCTGGCTGTTTGGTCAGTGGTCCTCTTCCTCTCTCCCTCGGGGATGGACAAACCTCCCTTTAGTAAAACGTGGTTCAGTGAAAACGCCCTCGGGCCCAAGCCTGGCGGGCGCAAGCCTGGAAAATAACGGCCGCGGCGCCCTCTCGAGGACCGACCACGGACCATTCACGGATCGACGTGCCACTGTCGGGAGGTCTGTCCCCCCCCGACTCCCTCCCCCCCCCCTCCCCCCCCTTGAAATGTTGCGCATCTGCTGCCGCGGGCACGCGTCGGCCGCGCTGTCGCCTCGCTTGTCTGGCCACCCAAAAAAAACAGCTTCTTCGAGAGGGGGGGGGCGCCCGCGGAGGGGCGCGCGCCGGGTACGGGTTTGCGGCCCTCCGCCTCGGAGGCGACTGCAGGGGCGAAGAGCCCCAGGGGCGGGCATTGCGCGCATCCCTCCGGAGCCTCGCCGAAGGCATGGACCGTCGGCCCCCCTTGACACAGCGGAGGCCAGCTCACAAGAAAGCTTGCACAAGAAACCCAGCCCTGAGACCCCAGGACGTCCATGGACTTTGGGTGTGGGATGGCCACGCTCTCCGTCGCAAAGCACTCGAAGAGCCCAAGAAACCCAGGGCAACCTGGAGGCAAGCAGGGGGTTTCTTGGCATGGGCCTCCACTGTGCATGTGCTGCCCCTCCTAGGCTAATGCGCCCCCATCGTCGCCCCGGGCAGCCGGGAGGAGCCTCGGTGGTGGGCCAGGAGGACCTGGCAGCTTCGGGGCCACGGGGCCTTGGAGGTGACGGCTTCGGACCTGGTGGACAGGGCGGCGGAGGCGGCGGACCCGCGGACCCAACACCACAGGATGGTTGGGAAAAAAACATCATTTTCCAAGAACCCCTTGCAAAAAGGAAGTGAAGTGCACACGTGCGCGTCGTGGCGCGCATGCCGAATCCTTCACAAACGTTCGGTGTCGTATGGATCTGAAAGACAAATGTCCCGCAACTCTATAATTAGCGGGGCGAAGGACCCAACCATAAGCAGTTCTGAGTAACGCAGTTGCGAGCCTCGTCTTCGGTGGAGATCCCTATAAAACCACGAAGCGTGTGAGGAGAGTGCCGGAATGGGCGCCAAAGACGGATGCGAACGGTGCCACTGGGACCCTCGGTGGAGCTCTCTATGGGGCCACGAAAAGTATGAGGGGTGTGCCAAAATTTGTGGCGGGGAGCCATGCCGACGATGCCACTAGGACCTTCGGTGGAGCCCCCATACGGGGCCACGAAGGGTGTGAAGGGTACGCTGTATTTAATGGGTGGCAGGGACGCGTGCGAACGGTGCCACTGGGGCCTTCGGTGGAGGTCCCTATGGGGCCACGAATCGTGTGAGCGGTACGCCGAAATCGGCGGCGGGGACGCATGCAGACGGCACCATTGGGGCCTTGTGTGGAGCTTCCTGAGGCCACGAAGCGTGTGATGGGTGTGCCGAAGTAAATGGCGGGGACGCGTGCGAACGGCACCACTGGGGCCTGGGGTGACGCCCCCTGGCCACGAAATGTGTGGCGGGATGTGCCGAAATTTGTGGCGGAGACGAATGCGAAAGGCACCATGTGCGCCTTGTGTGGAGCTCCTGATGGGGCCATGGAACGTGAGAGGGGTGTGCCGAAATGTGTGGCGCGGGCGCATGTGGACGCAGCCAGTGGGGCCTTCGGTGGAGCTCCCTATGAGGCCACGAAGCGTGTGAGCGGTACGCCGAAATCGGCGGCGGGGACGCATGCAGACGGCACCATTGGGGCCGTGTGTGGAGCTCCCTATGGGGCCACGAAGCGTGTGAGGGGTGTGCCGAAGTCATGCGAACGGCACCATTGGGGCCTTGTGTGGAGCTCCCAATGCGGCAACGAAACGTGTGGGGGGTGTGCGACATGGGTGGTGGGGGGACGCATGCAGGCGGCACCATTTGGGCCTTGGGTGAAGCTCCCGATGGGACCACGAAGCGGGAGAGAGGTGCGTGCCGGCCAGCGCGCGCTAGCGCGGCCGCAGCGATGTGCCAGCCATCGCCAAGCAATCATGGCAATTGCCGCCGCATGAGTTTTGCAAACCAAGCTGCGGGTGGGTGGGCGGGATGATTGCGAGAGCAGTGGAGTTGGCAGCTTCAAGTTCGAACAGGTGAATTGCACCACGTATACTCTCCTTCCTAGAGAAGAAGAGTAGACTCTACCCCCCCAGAGTTTACGATCCCCCCTGGGGTATTTCGATTTCAAATTTATTCTACACACTCGTCCATCCTAAATGTGAATTCGTACTATCCCAGCCCAACCGGTATCACTCCCCCCCGCCATCCTCTGCAACAAAATACAATGCGCGCACTCTCCAGCAAGGCGAACAAAAAGCTCCAAGACGAACCAAGAGCGCCCCAATACATCCCCAAACGGTACATTTCGACCCCTCAGCCGCGAGAGGCTCTCAGAAAGCCCCCAGATGCCCCAGGGCGCCTCCAATAGCCCACAAGAAGCTTCCAAAAAGCCCCCAGGAAACCCCTTCGATCAGAGTCGGCGGCACCGGCCGTCAGGCATCTCCAATACTATGCGCGCACTCTCGTTTATCCTAAATCATAAGTTTTGAAGAATCCCTTACAAATAACGGTACGAAGTGCACACGCGCGCGTCGTCGCGCGCGCATGCCAAAATCCTTCAAGAACCTTCGGTTTCGGAGGGATTTCAAAATCGAGCTTCCAAAAAACATGCAAAAACGCATGGCTTCGCAACGCTGATGTTCTAAAAAAGCTTACGCGCGCTTTTGCGACATCTTAAGAAAACCCTAGTTTTCAAAACAACCTACCAAACGAGCTTCGCGCGCGCAATGTCGAAATCTTTCGAACGCCCTTGCGAGCGTGCCGTCGCGAGAATCCGCTGCAAAAAATGGGACGAAGTGCAGACGCGCGCGTCGTCGCGCGCGCATGCCGAAATCCTTCAAAAACCTTCGGTTTCGGTAGGATTTCAAAATCGTGTCCAAAAAAACATACAAGAACACAAGGTTTCGCAACACGGATTTTCAACAAAAGCGTGCGCGCGCGCTCTTGCGTCGTCGTCGCCGTCGTCGCCGTCCTGCCTCCTCCCTCGTCGTCGTCGTCGTCGCCGTCGTCGTCCTCTGTCTTTCCTCGTCGTCGTCGTCGTCTTGGCGTCGTCGTCGTTTCCGTCGTTGTCGTCGTGGTCGTCCTTCCTCCCTCGTCGTCTTCGTCGGCGTTTCGTCGTTGTCCCTCCTATTTCGTCGCCGTCGTCGTCGTCGTCGTCTTCCCTCCTCCCTCGTCGTTGTCGTCGTCGCCGTCGTCGTCCACCCTCCTCCCTCGTCGTCGTCGTCGTCGTCGTCGTCTTCGTTGGCGACGTCGTCGTCGTCGTCGTCGTCTTCGTCGTCGCCGCCGTCGTCGTCGTCATCAGCGTCGTCGTCGTCGTCATCGTCGGCGGCGTCGTCGTCGTTGTCGGCGTTGTCATCGTCGTCGTCGTCATCAGTGCCGGCGTCGTCGTCGTCGTCGGTGTTGTCGTCGTTGTCGTCGTTGTCGTCGTCGTCGAAGTCGTTGGAGACGTCGTCGGTAACGTCGTAGTCGTTGCCGGCGGCGCCGTCGTCGTCGTTGTCGCTGTCGTCGTCGGCGTCGGTGTCGTTGCCAAGTGCCATTTGGTACCCACCGTCAAGGTCTTAAGAGGTCTTGCGACCAAGTTGCGGGTGGGAGGGTGGGATGTTTGCACGAGCAGTGAAGAGGACAGCTTCAAGTTGAGCAGGTGATTGGCTGCTCCACATAGCTAACACCACACTTACTGCTAGAATCAGACTCTTTGGGGTTCACGCTGGCTGACATCTATCTACAGGGGCAACCATCAGGACAACCATCGGGACAACCCTCAGGACAACCACACCAACGCCGTGGGAACGGCTCCACCGTGCTCTCAAGCGTCGGAGTGTGGCACTCCGTCGTGCTGTTGCGCATCCTACTCCCGGGACCTGTCGTGCCGCTAAGCATTGTACTGCTACCGGACACCATCGGGACAATCATTGGCTTCGGTGATGATGATAGTAATGATGATGGCGATGATGATGAGGATGAGGATGGTGATGATGGCGATGATGCTGCTGATGAAGATGTGTGGGCGCGCGATTCCAGGGACAACACTCTTTCTCATTCGGGGCGGGAGCTTTGCGCTCCTAGGGGGAGCCACCCTTCTCACTGAATGTTTTGCACTTTGCTTGAGGGGGATCCCACCTCATGAACTGCAGTCCTTGGGAGGGATCGCTTGTTCTCTGTTCCTTATTAATCAACAATCCCTCTCCCACCCGACTGGCGACAACCCAAAGACTATGCTCACACACCCGCGGCATCCAAGCCAAAAGCCATGTAATGCGCAATGTGTAGCAAAATCTGGATCATGCTTGGGCGCGCCGCGATCCCTTTACGTTATTGTTCACATGGGCGAGGGGGGGGCTGGCAGATTTTCCAACATGTGCAGGCCCACCATCCCTACCAAGACCCAATGCGACGCGCACGTTGTGGAAAATTACCCGGGCGCAGGACCAAACAATGTGCAATTGTGAATACCGCGAAATGAATACCGTTTTCGGTGGAATCCCCTTCGGGTCTAAAGAGCGTGTGAGGGGTGTGGCGACTTGGGCGCGGCGGTGCCATGCGAACGCAGCCGCTAGGGCCTTCGAACGCAGCCGCTGGGGCCGCCGTTGGAGCTCCTTATGGGGCCACGAAGCGTGCGTGTCAAGGGTGTGCAGAGATGGGCACGGCGTTGCCATGCGATCGCGGCCACTGGGGCCCTCGGTGGAGATCCCTATCAAGCCACGAAGCGTGTGAGGGGTGTGCCGAAACGGGTGCGTCGGTGCTATGCGAACGCATCCACTGGAGCCTTCGGTGGAGGTCCTCATGGGGCCATGAAACGTGTGAGCGGTATGCCGAATTGGATGTGGGTACGGCATGCGAACACAGCGCGAAGGGTGTGCCGGATCAGGGGCGGGTGATCTGGATCGTGATGTAGACGATGAGGAAGAGGGGGTGGGGAAGAGAGAGGAGGAAGAGGGGGCAGCGGGAGAAGGTGAGACGCGGGGCACTGTCTCTTCTAAACGAGGACGCACCACCTCAGGATGGTTGGGAAATCTTGGGCCATGCGCGTGCGCCCCGCGATCACTCTGCATTGCTCTTTGACCAGAATCGATGGGGGTGCCCTGGAACGCGTGGCACACCTCGTGGGCGTCGCGCACACGGCTTGCGTCTGCACCTGTCCCCGATGGTTGTCGATGGCGGCCCCTGTCCATGCCGATCTTGGGTGCTACTGATGTGTTGGGAGGGCGGGTAGGAGTGCGAGCGACGGCCTGCGGCGTTTGGATAGCTTGACCTCTCTCCCTACCCCCTCCCCGTGGATCTGGACGCGGGGGGCAGCGAGCGGTCGGAGGTCCCAAGAGCCCGAGATGTCCCCAAGAGGGCCCGAGATAGCCCAAAATGGCCTCCAAGACAGCTCAAGTTTCCGTAAGATCGTCCAAAATGGCTTCCAACATACTCCAAGAGGTCCCAAGACCGCTCCTAGACGGGTCCACATGGTTTCGGAAGCTCCCCATGACATCCCAAGAGGCCAACATCTGCCCAACATCAAGAAGGACAAATCAATGATTTAGCCTTCCCGCCCGTTCGCTTCCGATGGCCTGCCAAGGCCTTAATGTGGCCCCAAGAGGGTACAAAAAGACCCCAAGAGGGGCACACGTGGGCCTCAAGACGGCCCGCGCCCCAAGAAGGCGCCAAGAGGCGACCTTCGGGGTTCCCCCCCTCTTTGATCGATCTTCTCCAAGATGCCCCCACGAATACCCCCAAGGCCTTCACAGGGGCCCCGAGTATGCCCCAAGAGTACTCCAAGAAGCTTCCAAGTGGCTCCCAAGAGGCCCCCGATAGGCCCCAAAGAGGCCCCAAAGACACCCTAAGAGTCCACTAAGAGCCCCCCAGGAGACATCCCAATCGACTTCGCGAGGCATCCAATGGGCCTCTAGTTCCCCGAGGCTCCCCAACGCATCCGAACGCTGCAACGCTGCCTGAGAAGGGCAGATACCCTAGGCATCGTTCCTGGACGGGCTGGTGGGGATATTTTTTTCTGTCGCAGCCGCAAGCGAAAGCGCAGGCGGCGTCAAACGGGACGGGCGGGCCACGCGCGAACCTAATTGCCTAACGCGCCAGCAAGCAGAGCCTAAGCGTCACCTAGGAGCCAGAAGCGGGAGGTGGTGCGGGCTGCAGCTGCCAAGAAACAGGTCCAGGAGCGAACACATGCAATTAGCCAACCGAGGTTGGGGCGCAGCCAAAATTGCGCGGGAGCGATACCAGGATGAAGCCCGAAGCGCCATCACGAGGGACCGCAGACACCAGCAAGGCCAGGAAAAACTCACTGACCAGGAAACTAGTGCATGGAAGTGGCGCCACCAAAGTCGCACACAACGCTGACAAGTGGCCGCTGAGGGCGGGGACTAGACGTAGGATAAACCACACGAGACGTCCATGCACCCAGCCCCTGAAGGGGGCAGCTCGCTTGCAATATATTCCAGGAGGTAATGGGCTGGTGGGGATACTCGAAGCGTCAAGCATTCTTGCATGAGCTTCTGAAGAGAGGACTTGGGATCGGTTGGACGTATTGCAGCATCGCTGATGAACCTTGGATTTACTCTGGTCCTCCTTCTCCTCCTCCTCCTCATGCACCAAGCCGTATCAATTTTGCCTGGATTGCCCTAGCGCTGTTTCAAGCTCCGCGGCCAAGAAACTGGGCCCACAACGGCTGGTTTGCAGACCGGTATGTCTCCCCATCGTTCTGCCAGACAAGAGCAGTCCACGCGGCGGCGGATGTTTTATACCTACAGTCAGCCCGTATAGCAAGGATGCGCGATAAGGATGCCAGGGCCTCGAAAGCCCATTTCGACACTTTTCGAGCGGGACGCGGCTGACGAAAGTGGCCAAGGATGGACCGAGGAGGCGAGGATGCAAGGGTATCCTTGGGAAGGTTGCCCATCCTCACTATGCGGGTTGACTGTACTGTGTGGCCCCTCACGCTGAGCGGCGGCCTTATTGGGGGGCCAACTGGGGCACTGAAGGCTTGTCCTCGCGGCATGCTGCGCGCGTAGTGGCATCAAGTGCTCCTGACCGCTTTCCGACTCAGGTGTGAGCGCATGGCAAGTAAGGTGGCAATGCTGCAAAATCGATGCGCCAAGAAACTGAGACCACGCAAGAAACACAGTGCCAGAACGTATCTCGTAGCGCGAGGAGGCTTCGTTGCAACGGCTGTGCCTAAAGTAAGGGACGCTCCTCCAGGCAGAGAGCTCAGAAGGAAGCAACCGCGCGCGCGCGCCTGGGCAAAGCGGATGTCCAGCAGAGCATGCTCCAGTAAGTCACCGTGCACCCAACGCTTTGGAAGAACCTTCCGATAAAATGGTGTATATGGATGTTGCACGATGGAGATCAGAATGCCCAACGGGGCGTACCAATCCAAAAGCCGAAACGGCTGCGACGGCGGCGCAGGTGGCGTCTACTGCTGTTGCTGTTGCGTTCTGCTCGGCGCAGGCTGGCGGCTCAAAAAAGTGTGGGGGGGACTGGGGGCGTTGGGAATGCCAATCATCCATCCCGCCCGCACTGCCAGTTCCGGGAACCAGAATGACACATGGCGGATTCCAGAAACCCTGAACCCCAAAAAATTGTCACCTCTTGGGAGGTCGACTCTTGATTTCGTCTGCTTCCGTTGGCCTTCCGCCGGCTTTCGCCGGCAGAATTGGCCCCGGATTACTTCCGCCGCCCTTCCGCCGAGGAAGAGACAGAAGCGCCTCCGATCCCCGAATGCGAGGACCGTTTGAAGCGCCACACGTGTGCTCTTACAGGCCCCTTTTATATTTCTCGGGCAACGCTTGGGCAATCGCGGCCTGCTGGTGGCAAGTGCAGCCTAGCTGTGCCAGACCTGTGTCAGCCACGACCTCACTGCGACGTCCTGCGACGGCGCTCTGACAGAAAGAGGGCCCTCGGCGGTGGACAAACCTCTTTTTAGTGAACCTCCCCTTGGTGAAAACGGCCTGGGCCCGAAACCGACGGACCTGGACCCGCAAAAATGACGGCCGCGACGCCCCTCTCGCGAACCGAGAACGGCCTTTTCCTTGATCGACGTGTCAAGGTAGGAGGTCTGTTCACCTCCGAGGCCTGCACGTGGGGGCCCCGTGGAGGCGGGAGTCGGCGCCCCTCCTCCAGCACCGCTGGGGAGGGGACGGCGCCCCCAGGGAGGGGAGGACCCCTGGCTAGACCCCACGCGATCACCAGACGGGGAGGGAGGCATGCCAAGAGGCTAGAACTGTGGATACCACGACGATGGACACCCTAACAGCCCTATCCTTGAATTTAACTTGTGATTCAAACCCAGGAAAATGTTCTAAACATGTTTCAAGCATGTTCTTTACGTGTGTAGTATAAAACTTGTTTAATCCATGTCTTAGACATCTGGCAAGTATTTGGCAACATGCTTCCTCTCCATGGATCGTCCTCCACAGGGCTAGAAGCACAGGGGGTTGAACTCACACGCGGAACACTCGGAGGCCACGCGCATGACCCACTCGGGAAGGTCTGGTGTAACCAGCCACGCTCGAGCCGAGCGCGAAAAGGATTTGCGGCCACATCTTGTATATCCATCTCTCGCCTAAACTGTCCACGTCATGGGCATCCAACTTCCTGGTGGGTCATCTTAGCTTCGCGCGCCCCCCCCTGCAGGAAGTCCCTCGGCCCGCACAGCGAAGCGTGGTGCGTGATTATCTGGGCACCCGCGTTGGTGACATAGGGGGACGGAAGCCCCGTGGTGCCTCACATGCAAAACCTCGACGTTTCCATGCCGTGTCATGCCGAGGTTCTTGAATTGCACTTCGAAGCTGAAGCGGCATCCTCGACACCATCCCACCTACAGAGAGATCTCAATTTGAACTGCGACTAAAGACTGAGCGCATTGGTGCTCGTGTATGCCTTTCCTTCTCCATCCACCGAACGCAGGTCAAGGGTAGCGAAATGAAAACGCGCGGAATTCACGTCTGTCTTCCGATGTTCAACGTTGCCCCCACGAGCCAAATACACCCAACGTCATTTGCAGAACGATCTCACTCAACTTCAACATTAAAAGAGTCGCGCCACAGAACACATCCCTTACCACTTGGCCACAGGCCCACCTAAGATACCATAACGACTCATCTTTGTACATCGATGAACCCGCCCGCTTCCAGGAAAAAGATAGCAAACATGCAAGTCTACAAGCTGGTTCAAAAACTGCCTGATCTGGCACTGGACTCAAACTGGTGGGCGCAGGGGTCTGCAAACCTAAGTCAGCTTGGCATGGTGTGCTCGCTGAGGGCTTCGGCATGCGCCTTCATTGTGACAGCGATCGTGCGTGCAGCCAGCCAGCAAACACAATCTTTGCACCAGCTGCGTTTCTGGTGGGCGCTCGCACCAGCCAGGTCACATCGAAAGCCTGAACTACACGCGCGCCACATGCACCAGACGATCATCGCACGAAGGGTGTAAGGTAGGAGGGGCACCGAACCGAGACCGAAAAGGGGTCGTGGGTGCATGAAAGGAGCGAGAACATCGGTGGGTAGAAAGGTCATACCGAAACAAAAGGGAGAGCCCCCCCACCGGGAAGTCGATGTCGATTTCGTCTTCGTGTCGTGCGTGACGTGCGGGCGAGGCGAAGCTGCGCGGGAATGGTCCTGTGGTTTTGGGTGTTTGTCCTTGGCCTCGTTTTCATGGCCACATGTTCTCCTGCCAGGTTTCACGGCCGTTCAACGGTTGCCCGGGTTGTCCTTACAAAGCCCCGATGATTGGCCCAACTGTCCGTCCCGTTATTGTCTCGGCACATTTGCATGGTTGTCCCGTGGTTGTCCCGTGGTAATCCCGTGGTTGCTCCATGGTTGTCCTGTGGTTGTCCCGTGGATGTCTCGTGGTTGTCTCGTGGTTGCCCCGTGGTTGTCCCGTGGTTGTCTCATCGATGTCCCGTGCTTGTCCTGTTTGAGCCGCGGTCCAGTGATAATCCTGTGGCTGCCGCGTCTATGAATATAGTGATAGATCGTGAGACCGATTCATGAGAAGGGAGATGGCGGCACCGATCGCATCATATATAGTACGACCGATATAAAGGTGAACGGGCATGTATACATACATGCATTAATGCATGTAACTATATTTGTGTATGATATATGCTTCCTGTTCTTCGGCCCTTTCGCTTTCGCGGCGCCTCCCCCCCGTAGCATGGCGAGAGGTCGGAATTTGTAGAAGACAAATGTAAGTTAACAAGACGCCTGCCCTGCCCATGATGGAAAAACGCTTCCGAGGGTGAAGAGATGAAAAGCATCGAAAATCAATATCTCTCTCTCTCTCTCTCCCTCTCTCTCTCTACGTCTCTGTCTCTGTCTCTGTCTCTGCCCCTCTCTCTCTCTCCCTCCCTCTCGCTCTCGCTCTCGCTCGCTCTCTCTCTTTCTCTCTCTTTCTCTCTCTCTCTCTCTATCACACTCTCCCTCCTCCAAAAGACCAAAACTCCGCGTCGTGCGGCTACCAAAAGGGATTATTGTCGCGGCGTGTTGTGGAAGAGCCCGGCCGCTCTCTCTGCTGCCCTGTGCCTCCGAGTGTGCGGGGAGCGGGGGGAGGAACAAAATGTCCCCCCCCCTTCCACACCATAGAGGACCCCATGCCGCAGGGGATCCCAGAAGGGGTCCACTCCGTGGCGGCATGCAAGAAGGATCTCATTTGTTGCGGGATACACACAAGGATGATTTTATGATCGGATTGCAAAAGATCCCCGCCATTGGCGGATTGCAAATAGAATTCCTTCTCTGGCGCGATACTGGCAAATCCCTTCTGTGGCGGCTTGCAACATGATTCCTTGTGTTACAGATTACAAAAAAAAGGATTCCTTTTGTGGCGGGTTACACCAGGATCCCTTTTGTGGCGGGCTACAAATATTTTCCTTCGTGTAGTCCCTCTCCCGCCCGGGAGGTTGATGTGTTCTAAATGTGTTGTTTGATTCGTTTCCTGGTTCTCGGCCCTTTGATTCTCGCGGCGCCCCCACTCCGCACCATCCGTTTGTTGTCCCCCTGCCCTCTTTCCAAGGAGATATTTTCGTGGGGGGTCCAAATGTTGACTCATATTGAACGGATTACATATGAATCCTTTCTGTTGGGTTTTACAATGATATTTTTGTTGCGGGGGATGTGAACACTGGTTCCTGTTGTGTGAATGGGATATCAGAATCTTCTGTGTGGAGTTACATTCAGATTCCTTTGGTGGCCCGTTTGCATAGATAGATCTGCTTGTGAGGGCAGCACAAGAACTGTTGCGTGCTGCTTTGCAGATGGATCACAATAGGATCCCTTTTTGCGCAGAATTCCCATACTGATTGCTTCTTCGAAGAGTGCAAGAACTACTGCAACCTGATGCAACTACCACCAGTAGAAGCACCACCACTGCTGCTACTGCTACTACGGCTGTTACTACTGCTCATTGTGCTGCTACCAGCAACACCGTCTCGACCTCTGTCATGCTTACTACTCCTCCATCACCTCCCCTGTCTAGTGGTAGTCGGTTGCGGTGGTGCTTGTGGTAGTAGGTATTACGAATGCTAATACCATCGCAGCAGCCCCGCCCATTGCCGCAACTTCCATCGCCACCGCCATCGACATGGTTGTGGTACGTGTTCCCACTGCTACGCCTGCCGCACTGTACTCTTGTCCTACTCATGTCTACTAATACCTACTATTGCCACCACCGCCGCCACTACTGCTACTGCCCCTGCCGCTACGGCCACTACTACGATTACTACTACTACTACTACTACTACTACTACTACTACTACTACTACTACTTCTACTACTACTGCTGCTACTACTACTCCTACTACTACTACTACTACTACTACTACTACTACTACTACTACTACTACTACCACTACAACTACTACTGCTACGACTACGACTACGAGTACTACTACTACTACTAATACTACTACTACTACTACTACTACTACTACTACTACTACTTCTACTTCTACTACGCCTACTACTGCTACTACTATTACTACTACTACTACTACTACTACTACTACTACTACTACTACTACTACTACTACTGCTACTACTACTACTACTACTACTACTACTACTACTACTACCACTACTACTACTACTCCTATCCTTATTCCTTATTAGAATATACTCCTACTCCCCCCTCAGGCCGGCAAATAGGGGGCCCATCCGGGTGGTCCCATCCTAACCTGTAAAAAACAATACAAAATCAGCATGTATCTTATTTTTTCCTCTCGACATGGACGTCCTGTCGTCCACGGCGGTAATCCATTGCAAAAAAAACCACAAAGAGCACACGCGCGCGTTCATGTCATAATCCTACCGAACACCGTGTGTTTGCAAGCATTTCAACATAAAAACATCAAAAACCCTATGTTTTTTCACACAAAAAAAAAACTACAAATTTCCTGCCC